CTTCGTAGGGGGATTTGCAACCGCAGTTTTCTGAATGAGTTTTTATCAGCTGTTGCACATCTCCCGTATCATTTCCCACTCTCGCCCTCTGTCGCATCTTATCTTACGACACCCATGAGGAAAGCGGTTTTTTTAAGCCGCCATTACGCGGATCACAGACTATATTTGAGATTATATTATTTTTATATAAGGTACGTGAGGGTAATATGGTCACCTTAAGCTTTGCCGCCATATAAAACAAAACTAGGAGAAGGACAGAGACAAAAACTCAAGTCCTATACTACAACTAATATAATAAGAAAAAATAGCAAACAAGTTTGGCAATGATTAGGAACATTTCGAAAAATTTACTTAGAAAAAACTTACTGCACTACACAATACTAAAATCAACTAAATTATATGCTATACTCGTAATATCAACTGTCAAAATGAACTCGATAAAGCAGCGGCCATTTTGAACCTTTATTATTTGACGGTCTGATGAAGAGCTATCATATCACAGAGCCTGCTATGCAAACAAGGCTGTAGTTTTTGAGTTATAAGAAAGTGACCATATTACCCTCACGTACTATAGTTAATAAATAATTCACGATCACTACAAAATGATTAATGAATGATTCATGATACTATTAAATACAGTATTATAATAAGTACTAACAGTTATTGACAACGACTGCTTATCTTACTGAGCTCGGATTCCTGGCTAAAGCAAAAATATTAATTACGGGTATTTGCCAATATAAAATGGTTTAATTTTACGTCTTGATATGCTGCGAATTAAAGATTGATATTAAAGATTAACATCATAAGGTACATGGAGATTAAGTGAAAGAATTGGAGAATGGTAGTTTAACTTCTTTTTCCATATGGAAGTTATGTCTAAATATGAAGATGTCTTGTAATATTTTAATTATGCTAAATTATTTTGATTATCGACTCTAATAGTTTTAACGTTACAATTAGGCATTTTTAGCCACAAAATTTAAAATTGGATCGATCTAAAAGTTGTTTTTATATATAAATATATGGCAACTCATTGCATATTTTATGGAAGTCTGTAAGGAAATTTGCAAACCCTATATAACGTATATACTATATGTATATATCGTATATAGGGTATAGAATAATAATTATAGATTTGCGTCATAAAATTTTGTTCCTAAAATCGAAACGCGCATTACTACTGAATAATATTAGTCACCAGTGTGACTAAGTCCCAGTATTAATATTAAGGTAAAATTTAATTTTCCGGAGCTACATTGCACGTACAGTTTTATTTTGTAATTAAATATGATTGCAAGGCTCGCAAATACAAGTAGAATTACTAAAATTAACAACCAAATTAGAATTACGAACTCGTAGAATGTATAAGTAATATTACTATTATAAAATCTTATTTAAAACATTAAAACGATTGATTAAAACTACTTTTACGGATTTTATCGCGTTTAATTATTTTATTTTTAATACCCGACGTTTCGGGTGCTTTCCAGCACCCACGGTCACGGGGGACTGAGATGACTGACGTCCCGATGTCATCGTTAAACCCAGAGTACCTTCAGCTTTTTCGATTATTGTTTATGGTCCGATCCATGCAAAATGAACTCACTGTGCCTTGAAGTCTTGCGGTGGTATGCTTGGGTTTAGTTTTAATTTTATTTATTATAGGGTCCCAAGCAGGTGGTAGTACAAACTGCAGACTTTGATATTTGATAGAACGTTGATGCTTTAATGTTCCGGGAAGTCTGCAGTTTGTGATCATATCCTAGGCGGCCCCAACCATTACATCAGATTTGATAGACCACAAATTCTCGCGAAAGAACATCGATTCCTACGAAGGATGATAAGTGATGCTATTGAAACTAAAAAACATCCTAATTTCAATAGAGAAGGAGGCTGGGTACTACCACCTGTTTGGGACCCTATTATTAATAAAATTAAGATTCAAGACCCAGTCAGTTCATTTTGCATAGATCGGAACATAAACAATAATTAAAAAAGCTGAAGGTACTCCGGGTTTTACAATGACATCGTCCCCCGTGACCATACCGCTATTAAAAATAAAAATAAATAAACACGACATAATCCGTAAAACTAGTTTTGATCAATGTATAGTAGTATGTATGTATGTATGTATGTATGCATGTATGTATGTATGTACGTAGGTATATATATGTAATATAAGAAATAATTATTTAAAATGATTACTATAAATTAAAAAATTAAAAAAAAACTCCCTGCAAGATTTGCAAGCGTCGTATATTATAAGCATTTCACTAGATTGAAATAACGGAATTAAATACCTATTAAATTGATTCTAATGGCACTTGACACCTCTAAACCTGTCTGGTCGTTTAGGCCATAGAAGGTTTAAAGTGACAAAGATATATTTATAAACATAACATTACAACACTCACGCCTGCCACCCAAAGGGGTAGGTAGAGTCTACAGATTTCCATTTGGCACGATCCTGACACCTCTACGCATACATGCTCGTCGGTTTAGGGTACTCCTAATTTGGCCCATTTTCAATATATTGTAAATTTGGTCGATAAACTTTCGCCTAGGACGTCCCTTTCTAACTCTGCCGTTAACTTCTGCAACATGCTTTGTCAATCTTTCCTCATTCATTATTTCCACATTGACCGAAACACCGGAGCATTCCTTTCTTAATCCTGGTCACAACATCATCTTGTAAACCACACTCTTCTCTTATCACACAATTTATCACACTGTCATTCAGATTCAGTCCTAATATATTCCTTAACGACCGTATTTCTATTGTGTTTATTCTACTCTCGTGCTTCTTCTGGCATTGTAAAAATTAAATAACTACTTAACAGCATTTTTTAGATATGGCAACATGAGAGCTATAATAATATTGGCATTTTATTTTAACCGGGCATTCTGACGGTGTCGTAACCTCTTCGTTCAGTGCTCCAGATCTTTTCTTTGAAATGTATGTAAGTATCTTTGTAATAAGGTTATATTAATGGTAAGGAAATGTAATATTTCGTTTTAACATGGTGGTCTAAATATTTATCTATAAAACTGATTTGGCAAAGTTACCATACTAGTGACGCCACGATAAGACAATTACTTTGCCATGTTTTGATACCACCAAGAGTTGTCACTTTCAACCCATATACCGACTAGGGCGATACAAAGAAAGGATTCTATACTTCACATTCCATGTATGTATGTTTGTATACATGTTTAATCGTAACATCCTATTAAACCGATTTTACCTAATAAGTTGTCAACCGATTCATCTTTATCAAAAGTGAAAGAAAAGGAAAAAAAATCTATATAATTTTTACGGCGTCGTGTAATTAATAATATTATTCTTCTTTACTTCATTACTCTATTATTTACTTTTTATGATATTAATTTGCGCCCAAAAACAGTATCATATTTAATGATTATGAATGTTATGCTGCTGTTGGAAAACAATAGTCAGTTTGATTACAATTATTTTTTTGCGTGATCGTAATAAAGTGATGATGATGACATTAATAAAAAAGAATATTTATTATAAATTGTTTTATATTTGTTATAAATTGTTTAATTGTATAATATTTGTTATAATTGTCACATACTTTATGTTTGATCTATACTATTAATTCAATGTTATGTATTTTTGTTTGATATACTCGTATTTTTAATTTTTGCCTAAGAAGTTGTGACAAGATATAAATAAAAAAAATTTGTGCGTATAATTGTGTACACATGTACGAAGTGAAATTTCTTTACAACATATTATTCTTGGTTTGTTTTATATATTACATAAGTAGGTTAAAGGAGGCTTACGCAAAAAAAAAAACGTTACTATAAAATGTGATGCTTTATGAATACCGTACTAAATTCCTTGACAACGTCGATAAAAAAAAATTACTCCAAAAATTAAGTAAAGTACATACACAATCAAGGATTTTTGACAATCCTGACACATATTTTCAAGTTTGTATGAAAAATTGAATAATGGGTGGGCAACTTTGTTACTTGCAACACAATTATAGGAGCAAAACATATCTCTGAGTATTGTGTATAATATTATGTGATAAAACGGCCTTCATCCTTGTAGTTAAATCTTATTATTTTCATTAAAAACCTCGCAACCGGCAAAGATGCTATAAAGCGAGGTTAACTTTGCTATTTTACTATTTTCAAGTATTTTGTCTATTTAATGTTAGTACTTTTTTTAAATCACTAGCAAATACCAAATCTATGAAGAAAATAATGTCACATTCATACCTTTTCTGGTAGAGGGTGAGTGGGGTTGTTGGGGTCTTTTTAATTGAGGCCCAGTCTGAGAGTACATTTTACGTTTGAAAATTGGTCCTAGACTTTAAGGTCCTTCCAAAAATGGCAGTTGCTAGGTTTCACGGTACTATTTTACCACGTTTTTATTAACTTGCTTTATTGTTTGTCTGTCGTTCACAACAAATTTAGAAACAGATTTTAAACTAATTCCCCGAAGAGCTAGAGATTTGAATCTAATGGACGACACACACGGTTCAATTGATCATCCCAACTGATCAGATCAAGCTAGGACTGTTGATATTTTTGAAAATATCGGATTTTCTATATATCGATAAATAAAATTACATATAAAACTCCGATATTGATATATTTATAATTATCAATATTTCGAAAATCGGATATTTAAAAAAAATATCAACAGTCCTAGTTTGAACTGATCAGTTGGAATGATCAGTTGAATTAACCATGTGTGTCGTCCATAATAGATCAAAGCTGCTTGACAGTGCAACATAATTTCGCTTTCTTGTCGGTGTAATTGTTTGTTTGTCTGTGCAGTAGAAATTTGACAGTTGATTTTAAAATAATTTTCCGATGAGAACTACATGAAATATAAACTCAGAACTGGATACATGATATAAAAATGGTGGCCATTTTGAATTATAATTTTTACTTCCAATAAATTCATTCAAAATTGGTATTTCAGTTCTTATAGCTAAAACATTAAAGTGTGTAATTACCTCCGATAGGTATGCTGGCATTGGTTTTGTATTCCCTCTCCTCGTGCGAGAGTGTTCGAAGGTTCCTCGTGGTCGGATTCTTGTACTCGTCACGTAGGGGTAACGGCGGACAAGAGATGAACTGCCGATGGAAGTCGATCGTTCTGTGCGTCGGCACATTTGTACCTGGGCATAACGGATTGGTTTTTTTTTCATTCATTATCAGGATAATGGTAAAAGGGTTTTGTAAGGATTTTTATTTGATAACATTTAAATGACAAATGAGCTAACATTCCACCTGGAGGACTGCTACTACTATAGGCTACTGTAGTCCCTGTATATCTGCAACCAATAGTAAGTAACGCTGTTAGTAAGGACTAAGATAGATTGTCTCTCAGATTGTTGATGAAAGTCGGGCATGAGTAACGTTATTTGTATATGATTGGTTTAGGATGTTTTAAATTTTTATATTTACTTAGCATAATGTATTAAGTATATTTAAGTCCAAATCAAAGTACCTAAAAGAACTAAATAATTCGAATGTTTGTGGATGTACAATTTAGTTTAAGTATAAAAGCGTCTTTTATCTCCACGCCACACTAAACATGAGAAATTTCTAGAATAACGTTATTCAAAACTTTTTAACCGGTAAGGTCGATTAGTAAATACTTACAGTGTTTTACAGAAAATAGTTATTTTTATATATTGTATATATGAAATAGGATGTTTGTATCTAAATATCTATCTATCTATCTAATCGTTTAACTCAAAATCTATTTGATCAATCGCCATGAAACTTGGTATATATATATAAATAAATTAAATTGCATGTGCTCAAATAAATTACGTTGCTGAACACAACCTATGATATTAACTGGCAGGACACCGTCTGCCGGATTCAGCCAGGTATATGTAACTGGTTTCTCGGAAACTGTGTAATGAGATAATGTTTTACTTGACAAAATATGTTTCTATTTAGATGTAATCCCCGTAAAATTATATTTCTTTAACGCTGAGCAAAGATCGGTCGCCCAGGTACTGTGGTAAATGATCAACACCAAATTTTTGGTACTGAAAGAAGTATGAATATGTCCTTGGAATCAAGTGGATTCATCAATAAATAACAGTCTATTATCACGAGAGCGTAGCAATTACATTTCCTGGTTTAAATAAATAGAATTCTGTCCTGTCAATCAACTTATTAAGCAGGAAAGGTGTTTTTATAAGAAGGGCCAAAATAGCCCAACGTCCATTCCCAAAGGGCACCGCCACAATTATTTTGGGCTGGGTTAGACTTGAAAAAGTGTGCACATAATTAGTCTATGAGTTTATACAATGCAACGAAATGTATCGATACCGCAATTATGTTGTGAAATCGACGCAAACACATGCAGCCGGTTAATTATTGATATTTATAGTAAAATGGTTGTGCGTTGATTTATCGATTATTGTTATATCTTTTTACTTTAATTTTTGTTAATCTTCTCATTTACAGTTATTTATCTATTTATATTAGTATTCTTAAGTTTAATGATTTTTTTATCTAGGTAACATTATAATATACAAAATTTACTATAATAAAAAAATAATTATCATATAGCACTACTCTCCATGTTAGCGTTTCAAGAACGCTAACTGCTTTTTTCGCAGTTCAGTTATGTTGCTGTACTACATCTTTGAGCGAGAAAATAAGGGCTCATGTCTCCCGCGAGGACGACCAATCGCGGATGCAGTTCTTTAAGACTGCACGTGGACCCCACGGACTGATAGTCTAAACAGCAAAAGAAAAACGCAGCAACCGCCAAAGTCTATGCACGTAGTATCCCCCGCTAGGGCTCTGCCGTATGCATCATTTTATGTTCAACGAGGCTCTAAAGCCTTGGGTATATCTGCAGAGCCCTTCGAATAACATCGAATAGAATATAATTTTTTTATTATTTGAAAGTCAATTTTTTATTTACCACAGCCGCGGAAAATACACCTATCCTGGGAGTAATCTTTCAGAGAACGGTGACAAGACAACTTTTTGGCACTTTTCTTACATGATATTAGGAGAAATAATTAACAGTGTCTTTAATATTTGAATATTACTTCGAACATTACATCGAATTACTTGTAATAACTTTACACACATACTCGTAATAGCAACATTAGTTGTCCCATTATTTGTACCAGAATACATTCGGATTTAATTAGGGACAAGTGGAAGTTGTTTACACTACTGATTGAACCAAACATTTTTGGCAGCAATGCGATGGAGTTTTGTTAATTTGAGATGGTTTTGCCTGGTGGACTGTAAAAGCCTTTTAAAAAAATAGAATTGGCGTTATTTTTCCGAAATCCATTTTGTTATTTATAAGTTAAAAAACTAAACATAATAAACATTGTAGAATTTTAAAACGTTTGTATTTATAAATCTTAGGTTTTGACGATTGTCGATATATTGCAATATCGAATAGCACAACCCAATTAGCGAGGGTCACTGCCAAGCGGCTTACAGCGGGCACCTCCAAATTAAGTCTATTAACTGAAACTTTTAAGTCCCTTGTGCACGCGAGATCTTTCCTTCTTGTCCACTGGAGTTTGGAGCTTATTGGCTAAGTACGTACCTACTCGTCTTTTGTCTGTCCCATTCGCATTTTGTTTTGGGATATTTGCACTTTAAGCAGGATTTTAATGTTTTGTTCCTTTGAACGTTGTTTAGATTTGTTTATGTCATGATGATTGCGGAAGGGGTATAAAATTTTAATATTAAAAAAATGCACATATTTCTTAGATTTCTCCGGATACCTAATTAAATATCTGCTTGTATCATGGGATCTGGGTGCAAAACCATATAGCTACTATTTGTCAATAAAAATGGTATCGGAACTTGCGTACTTTTCAGCTTTCGATAGTTTTGGGAAGTAAGTTCTCGTGATAGAAAACAGTCTTTATCAGATTTATAAAATAATCGCATTTTATTTTTGTTTAATTATTGCTTTGTTTGTTTTACCATTTTGAGTCAACAAATTATATAGTCTTTATAAATATAGTATAGTACTTTAGCATGTGCACTAAAACAAAACTTAGCGAATGCATCGTGAGTATCAATTTCCAACAAGGTTCTCCCGTCGCGTCGTCACAAAGGTAATCCTCGGGAGCAGTTGTGCTACGTGCGTGTCCCGAACTTATTACTGATATAATTTCACTATTGTTTGCCTCCAGCGCTGCCATTCCATATGGCGTAACGTAATTTTTTTTCGCCCGTCAGCCAATTTCGATAGCTCGAGCTCCTTTGAACGGATCCTTAGTTTCGCGTGACTGCCCGGATGTCGGACGGCGGAAGAAAAGAATTACGATATTCATTAGCCGCCGCCTGTTTATTGCACGTGTTATGATGTCTTTGACACTTTTATTTGTTAAATTTTAATAGGAGTCTATTTTATTTAGTGTGTCAATGTGTAGAGCGGCCTATTTCGATTTTTTACGCTCTTTGAAATTTTTTACGCTTCTTGAAATTTTTTGTTTGTAAATCAAAATTAAGATTTTACAAATTCGTATTAAAATTTGATTATCTGTGTTTTTTCACTATTACTTAATACTTAATTACCACTCGGGATTTCTGGTATTTTCATGGGATTATCATGGGAAGAAATTAGGTGATGGATTCTATGCCTATAATATAACATATACCCCGTTAAAATAGACCTCCCTTACAGATTGCCTTATAGGGATCCCCCTATTTGCCATAGTTGCCATGCTTGGTTGGCGGATTGTCAACCGCAGTTTAATTTCATTGTTATTTTTTATAGAATAATACTATATCTTATACATTTTTTATAATCCTATGCGATAGTTTATCGACCAAATAGGCCAAATTAGGTTTATCGATTAAATTAGCGATATACTGAAATAAAATGTATTAAAAAATGAGGCAAATAAAACCCTTAACCAACGAGCATGTATGCGTAGGTGTATGAATGTGAAGGAGGCGAAAGAGGTGTATCAGGATCGCGTAAAATGAAAGTCTGTAGTCTATGCCTACCCTCTGAGCGACAGGCGTGAGTGTTTATGTATGTAATAATAGAGACAAACGAACACATCGTCCACCTTGTTGTATGTAGATGCTGTGGCCCATAGACATCTACATCTATCCTCGATTCCGAATGAAAATTCAGATGCATTGTTACCTCTGAAGACTAAGATAGAATATTAAAAAGGCGCTGCGGTCCATCTCCTGGTTTATTTACCTATGTTGCCTTTTACGACACCTACGAAAGGATATGTGGTAGTAGATATTCTTACACCGTCACTTCACGGTCAATATAGGCATATATATATAGGTAATTTAATGTATAAGAGCAAACTGTGCAGTGCCAAGACAAACAAAAGATGTTTAATGGCACGTAGAAATTGTTTTTGTAATTAAAACTGTAATAAATAAATAAAATAAACTAATTATAAATAATCAATTTATGAACGATTGACTAATAAGTTGGAGCGTCCTTTAAATGCCCTAGGGTTATCATCGCAGGTCCCGTGGGAAGAAAATCGCTATCTACTACTAGTGATAACGAGCTCGCGGCCTACCACCGTATCCTACATAAAAGTAATGACAAAAATAGATGTATTTATTATCATTTATTAATTGTTTTCAATGTTCAAACGTGTTAGTTCAAACTTCAAAGTTTGTAAGGTTTTTGAAAAACTTAAAAGATGATAAACTTCGAAGATATACATACCGGATGACCTTTTTTATTGTCTGGAAAAATTGGATGTAATGTGTGAAAGGAGTAAAAGTCTATGGCACTGATATTTTACAAAAAAATAAAAACAACATTTTGAATTAAACGTTTGAATTTTTTTATGAATTACTTTGCCCCTTGCCTTTGAGCCTGTGACCCAGCGAAGTGACAAGATCAAAGATGCCTACTAAATTTATTATTTTATTGCTGTTCGTAAAGTAGGGATATGATTTGAATTTCGCCAGATTTTAATTAATTCAAAAAATTTATTTTTTGTAAAATATTTGTGCCATAGGCTTCTACTCAGTTCACATGTTACACCCCTATTTTTTCCAGACGGTAAAAAAGATCTTCCAGTATTATTTAATAACTAAAATTGAAAATTTAAAAAACCCCCAGAAACAAAAAGAGCTGATGATCTTTAAAGTACTAAAAATATTTTCTTGAATCATAGTTAAGAAAACTCACGATGGAGTCAGCTTTCAAACAAAAAAAAAACTAGATCTTAACCGGTTCTTCCGTTAGGGAGCCACGATGCAACAGACAGACGCATAGGTACACAGATACACACGTTAAACATATAATATCCTATGTTTGAGTCGGGAATTGAAAATATATGATTGAATTACTTTTTTTTTATTTAAGACTGAATTCCATATATGGTTCTTTACACAGTGTAACCCATCTTCTTGGTAACTCCTTATATAAAGACTTTCTAAAAGCTAAAAAGTGCATATGTTTAAATTTTTCTTATTTAATCCTAGAAAATCCTGAACAAGCTAATGTGTATTGCCAATATTTCATTGATTTTCAGAGCTAAAGCTCCAATATGTTTTGAATCTGGAGTATTAATTATAAGTAAACCCCCTGGCTTTAAGACATAGTAAGCTCTCTTACAAGCTTTTATTCTTAATTCTGAATTAGGTATATTCAAGAAGAAAAGAAAATGTTTTCTTACGATCAAGAATATTATTTTGCATTATTATTTTGCCTTCAATTTTCTAAACGTTTTTCTCAATAATTTCTAAAATTTTTCAAAAAGTTTTTTTTTAAAGTGGTAAGGATATTTTTTTTAAGGTAGGCCATGGACATCTACATCTATCAAAATGCGTTTGCGATTGATTCTTAAACGATGACCTTTTTTTAGGACGTATACGTAACATACATAACAATATGCTATAATTTTAAGCTGGTATTCTGCAAGATTGTAATATTTCTCCGTCGACCCATTCGTGCTACCATAATGCGCCTGCAACCCGTTTCTACCATGTATTAATTAAGTGATTACAATGATATTTTGGACTTTACTAAATGGTATATAAGAAGGTATATGAACCGTGACAGCTCGGAGCGCGCTTTTCATAAATTGTCACAGTACGCGAGCAACCTGGTTTTGATCCGGCCGTCACCAATGAAATTGTTTACTGTAATTTTAATTGCTGATTTAACATGTGATCAGCGGGCAAAATTAGCATGTCTGAGAAAGGTTAGAAAGAATAAAGTGTTACAGGTACATCAGAGGGTCCGCTTACATGCAATGGAGCATCGCGTCGGACTGAACGGGATGGACGAAATGGAGTGATAAATTTGGATGAAATGGAATGATGAGCGATGAATCTATATGCCACCTGGTTACGAGAACAAATAATTTACTAATTACAAATGCAAATGTTTTGAGACTTCGTTTTGTGCACACGGAGTTGCGAAAATATAGAAAATTTTAATTGTTTACGTACTCATGTGGTTTTTGTAACAATGCATCGAATAATAACAAATTGGGAGCCGGCCCGTGACATTTCCAATCAAATTAGTTTTTCATTTAATGTTGATAATTATTATCATGCATTAGTAATAGGGAATTCGGAGCGTAAATGAACAAAATAAATATGTTTTAAACAGGCTTTTGTTTGCGTTAGCTGGTGGTTTAGGGTTTACATACGCTATTGTGCTTTATTATAATTATTTAAAATATATCGGTTTATTGAAGTGTATGGTGACATAAAACGGCCTTATTCTTTATTTTATTCTTATAATAATATTATTTATATTATACATAACATAACATACATAAAACACTCACGCCTGTCACCCAGAGGGGTAGGCAGATACTACAGACTTCCATTTGGCACGATCCTGACACACCTCTCTCGCCTCCTTCACATCTATATACCTACGCGTACATGCTCGTCGGTTAAGGGTACTCCTAATTTGGCCCGTTTTCAATAAATCGCCAGTGTGGTCGATAAATTTTCGCCTAGGACATCCCTTTCCGACTCTGCCATTCACTTCTGCAACATAAATTTTCTTTGTCACTCTTTCCTCATTCATTCTTTCCACATGACCAAACCACCGAAGCATTCCTTTCTTAATCCTGGTCACAACATCATCTTGCAAACCACAATTATATTCTCTTAATTATATTAGGCTCGACCGGGGAAGGACTACGCTGTCACAGAATACCAGCGTAATATAGTAGGTGAATGCTGCTGTGTTTCGTATGGAGAGTGTAGACAACCGGATACTTTTTTTACTGGAAATGAGGCATTTCATTTTAATCCTCACCGGTGACAACGCATCTGCATTTTGATTCGTAATCGAGGATAGATGTAGATGTTTGTGGGCCACAGCACCCACTTACCATCAGGTGGTTTGTGTGATCGTCGGTCTCTCTTAAAAAAAAAGGTTGAAGATAGATTTTTTTTTCTTGAAAGAGTTGGGTTGATGGATTATGTTTCGGTTTCTGTTAGAAGAGAAAATAATAAATTCTATTTAGATTATAAATAATTCTTATTGAAAGTATTTGTAATTTTTACTTTTACTGCTGGTTCCGAAAAATACAGCCAGAAACTCAATGGAAGCTTTTTTGAAGTAGTATTTTACAATGAAGTAGGTTGTATATCAATTGTTTTAACAATCAGTCTTATAATCAAAAATTAACATTTCTGGGGGCTAATAACAACTATGTGCTCATCAATATTGTTTTAATAATCCCAAACTAACCCTTAACTGTAAGGACGGTCAAGTCATGTAAGTCATGTCAAGTATGTATGTATATTGTTATATATATATATATATACATATACATATACTTATTTTATATATATATATATATATATATATATATATATATATATATATATATATATATATAAACTTTATTTATAAGGTACGTGAGGGTAATATGGTCACTTTAAGTTTTGCCGCCATATAAAAATAAAACTAGGAGGAGGACAGAGACAAAAACACAAAGTCGTATACTGTAAATAATATATTAAGAAAAGCAAAAAAGCTTTGGCAATAATTAGGAAGACTTCGAAAAATCTATTTAAAAAACTACACTACACCATACTAAAATCAATTAAAATATTTACTATAGTGTCTACTGTCACAATGGCGTCGATAAAGCATCGCGGTTTTGACCGTATATTATTTGATTAACCAATGAAGAGCTATCGTATTACAAAGCCATCTATGCAAAGAAGGCTGTAGTTTTTCAGTTACAAGTATGGGACCATATATACTGGATGACCATATTACCCTCACGTACTATATATATATATATATATTTTTTTTTTTTTTTTTTTTTTTTTTTATACTATATTAATAGAAATAAAAAAGAAAATATACCTATATTTTTTTGTTTTCTAATTTGTGTTTTGTTAATTATTAAGTTTTTTTTAATTATTAAGTACGCACGCTGCTACTTACTTGCTTAACATATAATAAAACTATTTCTCTCTCCCAAAGGGTTTGCTGGAAGAGAACTCTTATTAAGCTCGCCTTTGTACATCTTATTTAAAATGTTTAAAATTTGTTACCAACTTACGAGTATAGTGTGTATAGTAAAGAATAAAAGTACTAAATTTTGTTACAAGGACACCAAAAAATCTGTCGTATACGCTGAGCAGATGAGAACTTCTGGATATTTTCTGAAGCAAATCTTTATAACCTAGGTGGTAGAGTTCATTTTATGTCTTGTAGTGCCACCCTCTTTCCTTTTTCCTTTTTCTGCCACTGTACAGAAACACTGTAGGTTAAGAGAGCCAGAATAATTACAGGCTCAAAGACATTGGTCGTTTGAAGCCTTATTTTGTAGCTACTTAATATCAGGCAGAATTTTAGATCGTTTGTCATAATTTGTGTTATCTAATAGATAAATATTTTGTACGTTACTTAAAAAAATTATAGTTTGATTTTCAATAAAATTATTGACATAAATAAGTGTATTAAGCGATTCTAATGAAATGCTTGAGTATAATACATAACTAGAGACTTACTAGTTTTGGAGCGAGGCTCCCGTGGTCCGTCTACGGTCACTTTGATAGCTTTTTGGTACGTAGCTACTTGAGGCGGTGACGTAGATATCGTAATTGTTAACGAGAAGCTCTTTCCTGCAACAAACGCCATTAAAATTATTGAAAAAATAATTTTTTAATATAGAATAAGGGTGACAAACTAGCACACAGTTCACCAAATGGCTAGTGGATGCGTTGACCTCTGAGGACTAAGATGGAATGTTTCGTTTCAAGTAAAAAGGTTCTCAACACTCATAGTACGAAACACAACAGCATTAAGCTGCTATTTTAAGCTGGTACTCTGTAAGAGCGTGGTCCTTACCCGTTCGGGCCGACCTATTCGTACTACAACTATGTTATATTTTTACAGTTACATCATACGCTCTACCACGTATAAAGTAACTGTAAAAATGTTGCCTTTTTAAAAATTGGAATTATCATATACTCGTTACAGCCAATTGATTAAAACTACTTTTACGGATTTTATCACGTGTAATTTATTTTGTTTTTTATACCCGTCGTTTTGGGTATTTTCCAGCACCCATGGTCACGGGTGACTAAGGTGACTGACGTCCCGATGTCAAAGTTAACCCGGAGTACCTTCAGCTTTTTTAATTATTGTCTTTGGTCCGATCTACGCAGAATGAACTGTGTTTTGAAGTCTTGCAGTGGTATGCTTGGGTTTAGTTTTAATTTTATTAATTATAGGATCCCAAGCAGGTGGTAGTACCCAGCCTCCTTCTCTATTGAAATTAGGATGTTTTTTAATTTCAATAGCCTCACGTATCATCCTTGGTAGGAATCGATGTTCTTTCGCGAGGATTTGTGGTCTATCAAATCTGATGTAATGGTTGGGGCCATCTAGGATATGATCGCAAACTGCAGACTTCCCGGAACGTTGATGCTTCACGTCAGCTATGTGTTCTTTTACGCGGGTTCTAATTGATCACTTTATTTGCCCTATGTAAATTGAAATCTAAAAAATCGAAACGTCGGGTATTAAAAATAAAATAAATAAAACGCGATAAAATCCGTAAAAGTAGTTTTAATCAATGTACAGTGTTCGCGTAAATATAAGAAATCATTATCGTTACAGCCAAGTCTATTGCTAAACATATGCCTCCCCTTATAGACTGCCGTATTGGGGGGTGGGTTGGGGGGGATTTACCAGTTGTCACGCTTGGAAAGGGGATTGGCAACCACATTTTATTTTTATTTTTTAGCTGTTATTATACAGATATTGCTGGCATATCCTAATCTGTTTCCCACTGTCACCTCTCACAATACCCATGGAACATTGAGGTGTAGTGGATAATCTTACACCAAGATTAAATATTATATAATTGCAGGCTTTTTAAATATTTTTAATACCTTTATTCAAATAAAAAATACACATTTACAGCAATAATAATAATCATCGCTAAACTGTGCAACAGTTTGTTGGCGATAATGTCATTCGTTTCTTTTACATTCATGTATATTTTATGCTACTTACATACTTATCTTAGTTATATTACAATAAATATTTGTTTCTTGAATTAATACTTATTGTAGGTATGTATCTTCCACACTTTGCTTTAATGTTGCAGTGTTCATGTATTTGGACATATCTCTTTTAAATTCTATTCTATTAAATATTAGGGGAGTTAAAAATTGCCTAGTTTTCTTACCATAATAGTTTCTTATGTGTAGTATCAAATATTTACCCTTTTCAACTTGCCTGGTACGATATGTATGCGTTATATTTATTAATTTTATGTTGTTCTAAAGCAATGAGGTATTCTACTTTTTCATGCACGGGTAGTGTTTTACATATATTAAACAATATGTCATAATTTCGTTTATACTATAATTTTACTTTTTTACTTACTAAATACTTAAATAATCTAATCTGTTAATTATTTATTTTAAATTCTGTTTTATTAAGTTATTTATGTAATTTTAAATATTTATTTATTTAAAATTCTTGGAAATAGAAATTGTTAGATATTAATAAGTAGTTACCATCACCGACGCGTAAAATTCTAAGCCGGGCATGTGCATCTTCCGTTTTACGAGCCCGTCGTTTTTGTCCGAATCGTCACGCTTTAAAGACGGATTGATGATCGCAATATCGAATTATTTACATTGTTGCCAGTAGTCTGATTTGAGTATTTTATTTTTAAACTTTGTACTAATATATATATATATATATATATATATATATATATATATATATATATATATATATATATATATATAATCTAAAAAATTGAAACGTGGGGTATTAAAAATAAAATAAATAAAACGCGATAAAATCCGTAAAAGTTAATTAATGTACAGTGTTCGCGTAAATATAAAAGAATCATTATCGTTACAGCCAAGTCTATAGATAGCTAAGTATATATATATATAAGTACCACGTTTTTTTCATATTCCTTCACATTGTCATCCGATTCTTAGCAATTTAAAATTTCGAGTCTTCAGCTCATCGATAAGTACTCGAAATCTTAGTTGCGGGATTCCACCCGTAACGACAGACAGCCAGACAAACAAGAAAGTGACTTAGTAAAAACGTGACGATAAATGGAGGTTCTAATCTCTTATCTTCTAATCTCTCTCGTAGATTCTGCAGTAATAAATACTTGATACATCAATACTGACTTACTATTGTGTTAAACCATAAACCACACAATATTATATTGAACGAAACAAATAATATTTAAAAAAAAACTTAAATAACACACATTGAGAAGTTATCTAAGAAGTGTCTAAGAAGAATGAAGTATATGTATCTCATTATTATTATTAGTTATATTATAATAGGTCCGAATAGTATTAAAAAACGCCATTTCAAGTAAATTCACGTTTTTTTGGTTGCCGTCGTTTTTTGGTTTCAAGGAGTTTGTTTTGTAAGATACAAATAAATAAATAATAAATATTTAAAAGAATATTTGTGCGTGCATCTACGTTTTTACAATAGTAATTTTTTCTTCTCATACATATATCAAAGACAAAATAACGATGATAGTGATTCCAAATCAATTTAATCCGAAGCATAATTGTATTATGATCATCTTATAGAAAATTTAATTTAATTAAATTTGGCAATAATTGTAATAGCTGAGTTTCAAAATTGTAGTAAAAATAAAGTTTGCAGGAAGGCCTAACATTACTGGTCCCGTTCCCCAATTTACAACGAATTTACAAATATTCAATTAATCGGAATTAAGCAGTAAGAATAAAACATAAATAGTAAGGTTAAATAGATCTTCTTCTGTCTCACTAGATAAAAGAAGCGTAATTCTCCTATGTATTCTTATATTATCATTTCTTCAAAGAGGGTGAGGTAAATGATACATCGATTAAGCCGACCAGTTTAGGCACTTGACTCTCTCTATATATATTTGCTACTAATAATGTGTCATATTTGACGACTATTATAATATTCATGTTCTAAATTGAAACATCAAACACTAGCATAAAATATATAGACATGTCATGTATTTCTTTATATTTAATAATTCAAGACAACAAAGGGTTTTTATGTTTTGTTTTTCATTTAACATAACAAACTAAAAGTATCGTCAAATCATCATGTCTGATATATGTAAAACAGTTTCAGAAGAGTGTTTTCATAAAATGTAACATGTCTATTCATTTTATAACACTTTATTGTATGATAGTTCTCCGCGTGAAGTGCTACGCACGGACTGGCGCGGAGCGCGGACGCTGGAAAATAGAGTGCTTTTTGGACGTCCGATTTGCGGTCGCCAGTAATGAATGCACCGATAAATACGGAATAAAATTACAGTTAAAATGAGTGGATTAACATGTCTAATGCAGATAATTCGTGTGTAGCGCGCTCTCGATTTAGTTGAAATGATTGATTTCAAAGTTTCGTCTAGTCGACTGCTTTTACGTATTCCTTTTCTAGGTATATACTGCAACGTTTAGCGTTGTTTAATAGTTAGTATAAGCGGATATTAAATATAATATACAAAATTTCGGTTTTGAATACGGATATTAAATGAAAACTAACTTGAGCTTGTATTTAGTGGTGGCAGCTCGATTCTTGCATATTACAAGCAAACTGTTCTTTAAATTCGAGCTTCTCTTAAATGTTATTAAAATTGTTATTGGAGTATTTAACTGTTGATAGTAACTTAACTTAAAACTTACGTCGATTGGATTTGTAAAAGAACAATGTTTTTCTGAGAAGATTTTTATTATTTTATTGTTCCCCAATTGTGTAATATTTTATAAGTTACTGTAAAAATGAAAAATAAACATGATAGTTGATGCCGATTTTGTTTCTCAAAACTAAAGGCGATCGATGACTCAAGGAAAATATCCTGAAGAAACCTGTAAATCTGACACATTACGTATAATACGTAGACATTAAGAATGTGTAAAGTCTGTCAACGGTTTCCGCAGTGCAATGGTCAATTTCTTTTCTTTCTTCTTTTATTACACTTTCAAACAAAAATAAGCCCATATAGCTCAGACAGATAAAACAATTTTATTATTAGAATCAAACACTTGATGGTAAGTGGATACAGTGTCCATGGCCATCTAAACCTTTTATAGATTAAAAATTACGTGGAGAAACGCTTTTTCAAATCACGGGATATATCGGACCCGGCCTACATCTACCAGGTCTACTCCACATGGCGGCCCTACCTCGGAAGATTACAATCTTTCCCTTTTTTTTCTCAGGTAGGGCATACTAGAATACAAGGAGCGTCTTCCTCAACGGTCTTTAACCATCTACGCATCGGACCTCCTGGAGTCCAATACGCGGAGATCATATTGCTAGGAAAAACTAGCAATCGAAAGCAATAATATTTTTCATCACAGTGGCGGCTCTGGTCCATAGTTTCGTCGCCGACTACATTTCGGACCCTTAACCTCAGTGTGACGCACATACGAATTGGGCTTACAAAGCCACTCGGAGTGACCACCTCTGGCCTTCATCGTGCGTGACCAAGCCGCGGCATTTAAGTCCCCTTTGTCATGACAAGGTGGGAACCCTTTCGAGTAGAAGGGGACTCCTTCTAATTCCAAAATCCAGTTGTAGAATTGAGCTCCTACTTTTATTTTATGTTACTTTACTA